GGAAAGTTGAAGGGGGGGATTAAGTAAAGGGGGCAGGGAGGACTGAGAGAAGAGATGGCAGACTGGAAGAGGTGATAGTAGCAAAACACTGTCAAGGAGGGAAAAGCTGAAAGGAGATAGAGGACAAACAAGTGGAAAAAATAGAATGGAGGGAAATACGTAATTAGTAATCTTAACTGTGAATGTGAATGGGATGAACTCTTCCATAAAATAGAAGCAGATAGCAAAGTGGATCAAAAAGCAGAATCCTACAATATGTTGTTTATAAGAAACACAGTTGAAGCAGAGAGACACACACAGAGTAAAGGTAAGGGGCTAGAGTAGAATCTATTCTGCTTCAGCTAAAGTTAAAAAAAAAGCAGGGGTAGCAATCCTGATCTCAGAAAAAGCAAAAGCAAAAATAGAGCTAATTAAAAGATATAAGGAAGGAAACTACATACTAAATTACATGCTAATTAAGAGAGGTAAGGAAGGAAATTACATGCTAAAAGGTACCACAGACAATGAAGTAATATCAATACTAAACATGTATGCATCAAGTGGCATAGCATCCAGATTCTTCAGGGAGAAGTTAAATGAGCTACAGGTTCATAACCAATCAGTAAATAGAGAGCATTACAAAATGTGAATAGATATTTTTATTACATTGAATTAAAAAGCTTTTGCACAAACATTGGAAACCAAGATTAGAATGAAAACAGAAAGCTGGGAAATAATCTTTACATCAAGCATGTCTGATAAAGGCCTCATTTCTCAATTATATAGGGAACTAATTCAAATTTATAAGAATACAGGCCATTCCCCCCAAATGATAAATGGTCAAAGGATATGAACAGACAGTTTTCAGATGAGGAATCAAAGCTATCTATAAGGAAATGAAGAAGTGCTCTAAATCACTTTTGATTAGAGAAATGCAAATTAAAACAACTCTGAGGTACCACCTCACACCTATTAGATTAGCTAATATGACCCAAAAAAAAGGGCAAATGATAAATGGTAGAGAGGATGTTCATTGTCGATGGAGTTGTGAACTGATGCAACCATTCTGGAGAGCAATTTGGAACTATGCCCAAAAGTCAACCAAACTGTGCATACCTTTTGATCCAACAATACCACTACTATGACTGTATCCCCAAAAAAATCATTAAAAAAAAGGAAAAAGGACCTACATGTGCAAAATATTTATGACAGCCCTTTTTGTGGTGGTAAAATATTGGAAATTGAGGGGATACATCAATTGGGGAAAGGCTGAACAAGATGTGGTATATGGATGTAATGGAATAATATTGTGCAGTAAGAAATGATGAACAGGCAGATTTCAGAAAAATATGGAAAGCTTTGTACAAACTGATGTAAAGTGAAATGAACAGAACCAGGAAAACATTGTACACAGAATCAGTGACATTGTGTGATGATCAACTACAAATGATTCAGCTCTTTTTGGAAACACAATGATCCAAGACAAGTACAAAGGACTCAAAAAGGAAAATGCTATCCACATACAGGTAAAGAACTGATGGACTCTGAATGTAGATCAAAGTGTTTTTCACTTTATTCTTTTTAATATTTTTTTCCCTTCTGATCCGTTTCTTCTTTCACAATAGTGACTAATATGGAAATATGTTTTACATTATCACACATGTATAACCTATATCAAATTGCTTGCCATTTTAGGAAGAAGGGAGGGGTAGAAGGGAGGAAGAAAAATTGGGAACTCAAAATCCTGTAAAAATGAATGCTAAAATTTGTCTTAACATGTAATTTTGGGTGAAATAAAAAATTACTAAAATAAATAAATAAAATGCATGGGAGTAAGCACAAAGAAAACAAAAACATGAACTGGTCTTAGGCCATGGAAAAGATCAAAAAGAATTTCTTAAAAAATCAAGTAATAGAGGTAGAGGAAAAATTGGGAAGATAAATGAGAGGTATGCAAGAAAATCATGAAAAAAGAGTCTACAGCTTGGTAAAGGAGGGAAAAAAATCAAGTAATAGAGGTAGAGGAAAAATTGGGAAGATAAATGAGAGGTATGCAAGAAAATCATGAAAAAAGAGTCTACAGCTTGGTAAAGGAGGGACAAAAAATACTGAAGAAAATAATACCTTAAAAAACAGAATAGGCCAAATGGTAAAAGAAGCACAAAAATCTAATGAAGAGAAGATTGTCTTGAAAAGCAGAATTGGCCAAATGTAAAAAGATATACAAAAATTCACGGAAGAGAACTCCTTAAAAAGTAGAGTTGACCAAATAGAAAAGGAGGTACAAAAGCTCACTGAAGAAAATTTCTGAAAAATTAGAATTGGATGAGTGAAAACTAATGACTTTATGAGACATCAAGAAACAATCAAACAAAATCAAAAGAATGAAGAAAATAGAAAAAAATATGAAATATCCCATTGGAAAATCAACTGACCTAGATCCAAGAGAGATAATTTAAGAATTATTGGACTACTTGAAAGTCATGATCAAAAAAAGAGCCTAGATATCATCTTTCAAGAAATTTTCAAGGAAAACTACCCTGATATTCTAGCAACAGAGAGCCAAATAGAAATTGAAAGAATCCATCAATCACATCTTGAAAGAGATCCCAAAGTGAAAACTCCCAGGAATATTAGAGTCAAATTCTAGACCTCCAAGATCAAGGAGAATACTGCAAGCAGCCAAAAAGAAATAATTCAAATACCATGGAGCCTCAGTCAGGATAACACAAGATTTAGCAGCTTCTACATTAAAGGATTGGAAGATTTGGAATATGATATTCTGGAAGATAAAAGAGCTGGAATTGCAACCAAGAATCACCTACCCAGAAAAACAGAGTATACTCCTTCAGGGGGGAAATGGATATTCAATTAACAGAGGATTTTCAAACGTTCCTGATGAAAAGAGGAGAGCTGAATAGAAAAAATTGACTTCAAATACAAGATGCTAAAGAAGCATAACAAGGTAAATAGGAAAGAGAAATCATAACAGATTCAATAATGTTAAACTCTTTATATACCTACATGGTAAAATGATATTTATAACTCCTTAAAATTTTCTCATTATTAGGGAAGTTAGAAGGGGTATACATAGACAGAAAGCTGTCTGATGATGTGATGGTATGATTTAAAAAAAATAAAATTAAGGGATGAGAAAGAAGAATACACTGGGAGAAGAGGAAAGGGAGAGGTAGAATGGGATAAATTATCTGACATAAAAGAGACCTGAAAGAGATTTTATAGTGGAGAGGGAAATGAGGGAAGCAGGGAGGGTAGCACATGAACCTTACTCTCATCAGAATTGGCTCAAAGAGGGAATAATATACACGCTCAATTGGGTATAGAAATCTATCCTACCCCACAGGAAAGTAGGAAGGGAAGGGGATAAGAGAAAGGGCAGGGGAGCTGATCAAGGGGATGGCAGTTTGGGGGAGGTAAAAGTCAGAAATAAAACATTTTTGAGAATCGACAGAGTAAAACTACAGAGAGAATAGGATAAACGAGGGGAAAATAGGATGGTGGGAAATACATACTTGGAGATCATTGCTGTGAAAAACAAATTTACAGGAAGTTTCTCTGATAAAGACTTCATTTCTCAAACATATAGAAAACTGAGTCAAATTTATAGAAACAAGAGCCATTCCTCAATTGACAAATGGTAAAGGATATGAACAGACAGTTTTCAGACAAAGTAGTCAAAGCTGTCTATAGTCATATGAAAAAGATGCTCTAAATCACTACTGATAAGAAAAATGCAAATTAAAACAACTCTGAGCTACTACCTCATACATGTCAGATTGGCTAATATGACAAAAAAGGAAAATGACAAATGTTGGAGGGGATGTGGGAAAATCAAAACACTAATGTACTATTGATGAAGCTGTATACTGATTCAAACATTCTAGATAGCAATTTAGAACTAAGACCAAAGGGCTATAAAACCATGCATATCCTTTAACCAAGCAAAACCACTACCAGGTCTGTACCCCAAAGAGATAAAAAAAAAAGGACCTATGTGGGAAAAAAAATCTATTTATAGCAGCTTTTTTAGTGGTGGCAAAGAATTGGAAATTGAGGATATGTTAATAAATTAGGGAATATCTGAATAAATTGTTGTATATGATTGTGATGGAATACTATCTTCCTATTAGAAATGATGAGTAGGATGCTGTCAGAAAAACATGGAAATACTTAACATGAACTGATGCAAAGTGAAATGAGCACAACTAGGAGAACATTGTATACACTAATAGCAATGTTGTATGATGATCTACTGTGAATAATTTAGCTATTCTCAGCAATACAATGATCCAAGACAATTCTGTAGGACTTACAATGAAAGGTGCTGTCCATCTCCAGAGAAAGAACTGGTGGAGTCTGAATGCAGATCAAAGCGTACTTTCTCTTTACTTTCTTTATTTTTCTTGTTTTTTTCTTTTTCTTTTTTGTCTGTGTTTTCTTTCGCAGAATGACTTACATGGAAATGTCTTTTGCATGATTACACATGTGTAACCTTTGTCAAGTTGCTTGCCTTCTCAGTGAGGGGGAAGGAAGGGAGGGAGAGAATTCAGAACTCAAAATTTGAGGAAAAAAAGTGTTAAACTTGTTTTTATGTGTAATTGGAAAAAATTAGGAAAAAGTGTATGAATTTTTAAAAAGAAAAGATGACAGTGCCCAGATACTTCAGAATATAGTTCATCCCTTCCGCATTGCAACCTTCCCCATTGCAGTTTGGATTTATTGAGGGTCAGCATAAGCAATTAAATGGGAATTTGGGGGGGAGGGGAGTTTTGCAGAGGCAATACACAACACTCAAATGCCAGAAAATGACACAGAAAAAGTTTAGAAACTCAGAAATGCATAAAATATATGTATCAATTTGTATAATATCAACATATTTTATCTTTTAATACCATAATAATTCAGACTTCTCTGATATGAAGAGAGAGCCAAAAGTTTTATATGGATTTTCCGGATATGGGGGGTACCTTGAACCTAACCCCACTCCCCAACCCCCTTACCTCCATGATGTGGAAGGGGTAACCATAGAGAGGCAGATGGTAAGGCCTAGAGGTCTTCTCTCTCACCAGAAGGAATGCAATCAGACAAGTAGCCTGGGCAAAAGAAGAAAGCAAGATTGCCCCCTGGTGGATGTGGCTCTGCCCAGCTATCCTGATGGCTTCTAGGACAGCCTGGAGCTGGGGTCTGGGGTAAAAGCAAAAGACATATCCTGATTTTCCACATCAGGGTCTTTCTGAAATCTTTGTATGTGGCCCTAAGGAGCTTCAGCAAGAAGCCTTGCTTTTTCTGATTTTTCTTTTGTGTACCAAGAAGCATATCAGAGAGTAGAAAGACCTTGGAGTTAAGAGTCCTGGATTTTTATCTTATCTCTATCATTTATCATATACCACCTTGGTGAGCTCACATCATCTGTAAGCCTCAGTTTCCCCATCTGTAAAATAATAATATATTATCAACTGCATGGGGTTACTTTGAAGGGAAAGGGCTTTGTATCCTTGACTGTGGATGCATGGGCTATTCCTACCACTGTTACTTCTATTTTTTAATATTTTTTTATATTGAAACCAAGGGTTATGATGTGAGAGGTACAGAAACTCCCCTTCATCCTGTGCATCCATTCAGTCATCTATCTCTCATCCCTGTTCACTTCTGTCCACTTCCACTTTCACCACCTATATCGGCTGCAATATTTAGCTTTTATGCCTCGATTATCACAACAGGTCTCCTTCTCTGCAGGATCCATTTCTTACAAACTAGGGTGACATTAATATTTATAAACTACACTTTAATTGTGTCAAAAAAAGCTTCAGTGGTTCCCTTTTGTCTCTTTCATCATGTTAGTCAGCCAACAAGCATTTATTAAGAACTTGTTATGTTCTAAGCACTGGAGACACAAAAAAGGCAAAAAAACAAGTCCTGAACTCAAATTGCAGGCACAGTTATGTGGCACACAGAGCCAAGAAGCCTAGTTCCATTCCTGCCTCAGTCACTAGATATGTGACCCTGGGCAACCAAGCTCTCAGTCTCAGTTTCCTCATCTGTAAAATATTTAAAATAATAGCACCTGCCTTACACTGATGATCTAAGGATCAAATGAGATGTAGCTAGGTGGCACAGTGGATAGAGTTCTGGGACTGGGGTCTGGAAGACCTGAGATCAAATTTGGTCTCAGACACTTAATAGCTGTGTGACCCTGGGCAAGTCACTTAAATTTCTGCTTGCCTCATCTGTAAAACGGGGATGATGATATATGATCCAACTATATATAACCTAATGATAATAACTTACTTTCCAGGGTTATTATGAGAATCAAATCAGATAATAATTGTAAAGCACTTAGCACAGTGCCTGGCACATAATAAGCTCTACATAAATATTAGCTATTATTAACTGTTATTTTAATGGGGAAAACAACATGAAAATAATTATGTACATACAAGATATATAAAGGGTAAATAGAGATATGGCAGAAAGGAGGTAGAATTTGACTTGAGATATGAAGGAATGTAGGGCAGTTGCAGTGGATAGAGTGCCAGGCCTACAGTCAGAAGGACTCATCTTTCTGAATTCAAATCCGGCCTCAGACACTTAACCAACTATGTGACTCTGGGCAAGTCATTTAACCCTGTTTGCCAGTTTCCTTATTTGTAAAATGAGCTGGAGAAGGAAATGGCAAACAACTCCAGTAACTTTACCAAGAAAACTCCAAATGGGGTCATGAAGAGTCAGACGAGACTGACAGGACTCAGTAACAACAAATGAAGCAATGCAGAGAAGCAAAGAGCTGGAAGGAAAGAGGAAATCTAGAAGCATTGCAGGCAATAAAAATGCATGTAGTCAGCATATGGAGTGTCCTGTGTAAGGGAAAACAAGACCAGTGTCACCCAAACATGGAGTTAGAACAGAATAGTATGAGAAGCCTACAAAGGTGGGAAGAGGTCAGATTATGGAGGGTTTTGACAGCTTAACAGAGGATTTTCTATTTGATCCTGGGGGTAATAGGAAGTCACTGGAATTTATTGAGTAGGAGAAGGATGACATGGTCATACTCTGAGGAAAACAGTTTTGGTAGCTCAGTGGAGGATAAACTGGGGAGGAGACAGGCTTGAGGCAGGGAGACAGGCTAGTGCAATAGCTGAAGGATGAAGTGATGAGTGTCTGCCCTAGAGAGGTGTACCTACTTCATAGAGTTGTAAGCACTAAATGAGGTGTCATATATAAAGTGCTTTGCAAACCTTAATGCACCATATAAGTATTATTATTATTACTGGATGATCTAAGGATCAAATGAGATGTAGCTAGGTGGCACAGTGGATAGAGAAGGATGATTATCCTTCTATTTTTCTAATTGCCTACTTTGCATCTGGGCAGACAGTAACCCTCAGTGATATTTATAGTGGAAAGAATACATAGTAGGCACTTGTTTGCAGAGTTTATAGTCAAATGACATGGATCTGAATCCCAGCTCTGCCACTTACATCCTGGGCAACTGGAAAGAAGGAGGGAAGGAAGGAAGGAAGGAAGGAGGGAAGGAGGGAAGGAAGGAAGGAAGGAAGGAAGGAAGGAAGGAAGGAAGGGAGGAAGAAAAAAGGAAGGGAGGGAGGGAGGAAGAAAAAAGGAAGGGAAGAAGGGAGGAAGAGAGGAAAGGAAAGGAAAAGTGCTATTATTATGCCCATTTTTTGCGATCAAGGAAACTGAGGCAGATGATAGTTAAATGACTTGCCCAGAATGACACAGTTAGTATCTAAGGTTGGATTTGAACTCAGATCCTCCTGATTTCAGTGAACCAAATATATAGAGCTAGTAAAGACTCTAATTAGAGGCCATTTAATCCAACTTCCCCATTTTAGGGATGAACAAACTGAGATTCAGCAAAGTTAAATCCTTTATCAAAGGTCACACAGGTAGTAAGTAGTAAAGGTGGCACTCAAACCCAGGTAGTTTAACTCTAAATCTATCAGTCAAGTCTCTTCTCTGAACCTTAGTTTCTTCCTTTGTTAAAAGGAAGAGTTTGTAGTAGATGGTCTAAAAGGCTTTTCTGGCCCTGTTGTTTTATGAATATCATACAAGAAAAGTCAAAGTTGGTACTTTTCTTCTGCAAGTCAAAATAATAAGCCTTTTTTAAGCATCCCTGTGCCTAAGGCATGTCCTGGGTGCTGGGGATGGAAAGACAAAACAAAACATAGTCTCTGTCCTCAAAGAACATATATTCCATGTCACCAGTTCTCAAAGTGTGGTCTAAGGACCCCTAGTGGTGGTCCACAAAGTCAAAACTGTTTTCAAAATAATATTTTAATTTATAACATGACAAGTATTGATAGATATAGCCCATATAAACAAAAGCTCTGGTGTCCTTAACAATTTTAAGGGCATAAAAGGGTCCTGAGACCAAAAAGTTTGAGAACCATTGTTTTGTGTAATAAGTTACCTATACTTTTGTTCTATTATTTTGCATGGAGAGACAACGCTGTCAGGTAGAAAGGACACGGGTCTTTGAGTCAGAAGACCCGGGTTCCAGTCCCAGCTCTGACACTCATTAGCTATACCAAACCTCCCCAGGCCTCAGTTTCTCATCTGTAAAATGAGACAGTTGGACTAAGTGACCTCTGAGGCCCCTCCTGATTCCAAATCTATGCCCCTCCCATCTCTCTGAGCCGCAGTTCCTTGATCTGTATGATGGGAATGATAAAACCTGTAATGCCTCCCTCATAAGGAAGGCATTTTTGTTTTCACTTTTTAAAAGCTCAAAGGTGCTATAGAGAAGAGAGTGATTTTTGCCAGTTCCTTTGTGCCTTTGGGCCTGTATCTCCTGTTTGTAGAGGAACACTACTAGTCTCCCTCTGAGAAATAAACCAGGGAAGAAAGACAGTAGCCTGGTCCCCTCCCTCCCTGCCAGCCCAACCCAAACAATAGTAGAGGGACTTGAAAATCCTAAAATCTTTTTAAAAAGCCAGGGCCACTGAGAGGCTGAGGGGGTCAATTGAATTAAGGCAGTTAATTTGAAAAGAAAGCCACCCTTGGGAGGGGATCCTAGGCTCATCACAGCACTTGAGCCCGGGAGGCAGCTTAGAGATCAACTGATCCAAATACCTCATATGACAGACAGGGAGACTGAGGCCAGAGCTTAGTTCCAAAGGGCCTGGGTGCAGAGAGCAAGCAGAGGCAGCGCGCCAATCCGAGTCCTTGGAATTTAAATGTAAATTTCCCATCCCCAAGAAGCCGCCACTGGTAACGAGAGAGTAAACACGTCTGTTGGTCTTTCCCAGCCCTCCTGGTTGCCTCTCTGCTGTGCGATTTATGTTCTGCGTGATTAGGCCCGAAATGGACAGGAAGCTTTATTGTTCTGAGCTGGCAGGGTGTGAAAAGGCAAATTGATAAAGACGACTCAGTCAGTGTTGAGTTGGGCGTTCCTAATTTATAGAAACACTGTGAGCTCCATTACTCAGACCCTTCCTTTACGACCCCAAACCCCGGCTTCCTCCAACCCCGGTCCTCCTTGTCAAATTATACCTGATTGATGGGAGAACTGAGGATTTACTGATCGAAAAGGGAGCATCGAGCCCACAGGACACAGAGTAAATCCCAGGGAAGTGATGTCTGATAGAGCTTGGCCTTATTAAAGAGATCAATGGCTGCGTCTGGTGATGCTGCTGCAGTGAGGTAGGGGGCACCCAGGCATTTATCAGCGTGACTGAGCCATATATTATGGAGAGATCAGGGAATACTAGAAAAAACATCAAATGTAGAGTCGGTAAGACCCAGGCTGGAGATCCGAATGTCTGTCATTTACAAGCCCTGTGTCCTTGAGGAAAGCACTTAAACTGTGTGGGCTTGAGGCTTCTCGGCTGTGGAAGGAGAGGTCTGCTTACACCGACCTCTAAGGTCCCTTCCCAGGGCACAGTCTGTGAATCTACACTGGGGTCTGAATCCCAGCTCTACTACTCACCAGCTATGTCACCCTGGGCAGTTCTTCTCTAGTCTGTTTCCTCATCTGTAAAATGGTGTTGTTCAGTTGTATCTGACTCTTCACGACCCCATTTGGGGTTTACTTGGCAAAGATACCAGAGTGGTCTGCCATTTCCTTCTCCAGCTCATTTTATAGATGAGGAAACTGAGGCAAACAGGGTTAAGTGACTTACCCAGGCTTA